GTAATAGATAAACATTTTTATATATATCGAGTAGCGCTGGCAGGGTAGCCAAGTGTGCACCAAGTATAATTTGTGGTTTTCACTGTGGTGAGTCTGAAGATGGCTGTCTTCTTTGTTGTAGCTCCTGTAGTCTGGTTGAAGTTTGCCAATGCTTCAGAGGTCCTCTCCATCGTCAGGGTAATGGAAAAACTTAGTTATAGGAGACTGGCAGTGGGGATTGGGAACGAATAGGAGCTGGGGACATGGGGGGCTCTCATAAGGGCTCCTCAGGTTCCTGCCATAGGATCAACTGACATATGAGAGGTGAGTCGATGTGATGTGCCCTGAAAAGGGCAGGGTAGTGGCTTATTGGCCTGGGCAAGACTGGCAATGCTGTATGGGATGTTTCGGCCACAGCGGATTTATCCAGCTGGTCCAGCCGGATGTGGCGCTGGTGCTGCTTTCTCAGACCTCTCCCTCTCGTGCCCCTTTCCTTCCTGCTGGCCAAGGTGTGGCATGCCCTGCTCCTGTTAGTTCCCAGGCCCTCACATTTCTGACTCCAGTCAGCACTGGTTGTGCCAAGGCTCTTCATTGACTTCCAAACGTGTGCCTTACTCATCACCCTGATGACAGATGCAGCAAGGACCTCTGAATCGTTGGTACACTTCTACCAACAACCCAGAAGACAGCCATCTTCAGACTCACCAGCATGAAAATGTCAAATCCTACACGGTAATAAATCTTTTGGTTCTGTGAAATGTTGGGAATTTTTGGAGTTGCCGAGTGACCGACTATTGGTGGCTTCTCAAGGACCTAGCTCCATGGAATAAGTGACAGATGGATCAAGGTTTGCTTTTTGTGGCGAACAGAAGTTGCAGACATAGAAGGGAACATTCAAAGACAAAGGGCTCAAGGAAATTAATGCGGCATGCAGTTTTAAGATTTGTGCGTCTTCTTTCCCATTGGCCTAATTTGTATCAAAATGCTGAGATAATGAAAGGCAATGACGCAATTTTATCCTGCAAAAGCTGTTGATGAGTGGTCCAAAACAAAGACACAGAAGAAGCCAAATCAGAAACAGAAAGTCAATGTACAGCTCATTTGTTGTTTTACATCCAAATGCTATTTTGTATGACATAATTGTGCACATCTTGTCACTGCTTATAGATATTAGAAGAGTTTATTATGTACTTCAATGGTGGCACACTGACTTCTTTTTTTTTAGCAAATAATATGTAGATCCTGAGGCTTGTAGCCCACATAAAAAAATCATAACCTTACCTGACTTTAAAGAGCTTTTACGTCTGTCCAAAAAGTATCCGACCTTATTTTTTTCTGCAGTAAGTAATGGCGAAAGGGTGGGGAAACTGAGCGTAGTGGTAGAAGGGACTTTCATGTGCATGCGTGATTTTTTGCTTCCTCGTAGCACCACCGGATGCGTCTGTCCTTGCCAGATAGCGAAGTGGTGCAACACGTATTCGTCGCATTCACGTTTAGCTCAAGATGACGGAACGCTTGGAGCAGCGATACTGCATCAAGTTTTGTCAGAAACTTGGGGATACCCAAGCAGAAACAATCCACAAAATTCAGCAGGCTTTTGGCGATGATGCAATGGGGGTCACTCAAATTAAAGAAGTTTCGGCCACAGCGGATTTATCCAGCTGGTCCAGCCGGATGTGGCGCTGGTGCCGCTTTCTCAGACCTCTCCCTCTCAAGTCCCTTTCCATCCTGCTGGCCAAGGTGTGGCATGCCCTGCTCGTGTTAGTTCCCAGGCCCTCACATTTCTGACTCCATTCGGCACTGGTCATGCCAAGGCTCTTCATTGACTTCCAATTGTGTGCCTTACTCATCACCCTGATGACAAAGGCAGCAGAGACCTCTGAATCGTTAGTACACTTCTACCAACAACCCAGAAGACAGCCATCTTCAGACTCACCAGCATGAAAATGTCAAATCCTACACGGTAATAAATCTTTGGGTTCTGTGAAATGTTGGAAATTTTTGGAGTTGCTGAGTGACCGACTATTGGTGGCTTCTCAAGGACCTAGCTCCATGGAATAAGTGACAGATGGATCAAGATTTCCTTTGTGTGGCAAACAGAAGATGCAGACTTAACAAATGAGTCACACGCACATTTATCACCTATAACAAATGTTTTTCTTTGTTGCAGTTTTAATGTGTCAACAGCTGGGAGATGAAGCAGATTTCTGTACAACTGCATTAGAAAGAAGGAATACAAATATTTGGTACAAATTAGTGGCAGAAGTCTTCTCAATAGGCTAGCCCTAACTGGCACAGAAGAGGAAATTAAGAGACAAAGGGCCCAAGGAAATTTACTTGGCATGCACTTGTGAGATGAATGTCTCTCCTTTCCCAATGGCCTATTTTGGATCAAAATGCTCAGATAATGAAAGGCAATGACGCAGTTCCATCCTGCAAAAGCTGTTGAGTGGTCCAAAACTACAAGACACAGAAGAAGCCAAATCAGAAATAGGAAGTCAATGTATAGCTCATTTGTTGTTTTACATCTGAATGTCATTTTGTATGATATAAATGTGCACATGTCTTGTCACTGCTTATAGCTAATTAAAAGAATTAATTTATCTACTTCATTGGTGGTACACTGAATTATTTTTGTTAGCAATTAACATTATATATCCCAGAGGCTACTAACCCACAAACAAATCATAACCTGTACTGGCCTGTTACCTGACATTTAAGAGCATTTAGACATGACATTAGAAGTCCAGTTACCTTGGTAAGATCCTCAGGAGCAGCAAGAAAGTGTACAGCTGACACAAATCTCTCTTCTCCACATGGCAAAGAGCATGTCCACTGCTTACAGACGAACCAGTGATCCTAGGGCCTGCAGACAAATGTGTATCAGATTCCATTGTACTTAATAAACTGTTACAGAACCAAACAAGTTCACCTGTTTTTTGTAATAATGTAATTCACCAAAAAATCTGCATGACAGTCTACTTCAAAATTACCAAATCTTTGGTTCCATGAAAGTTGCAAGACCTGATTTAAGCCTACTTGGGAGGGAATGACATGCTCTTTCAACTGGTTAATTTGTATATAATTTTATTGAAATGGCAATTCCCTGATGTGATTCTTATATCGTTTTAATAACATACTTTTAAGTGCAGTGAAATTCCATCTTTCTTTAACTTCATATTAAAATGACAAGCAACTGTTATGATGAGTTACTGTGAAATGCTGAAGTTTCTCCAGCAATTCCCATCATCATCCTACCTTCTTCATGTTGTGTCATCATATGATCTGTCACTCCATCCAGCCTCTCTTCCACTCTGATCTGCATAGCGAACAGAACTGCTATTTTGACACCAAGGAACCAAACACCATGAAACTCATCCCATGTGATGTATTTCCCAACTACACTCCTGTTCGCCCTGAAAAGTAAATGGGAAAACAAGATTAGGAGCAATATCATAACAGGAAAACAAAGATATTTAAATAGCTAACAGCAGTTCAAAAATGTAAGATGGAGATGTGCAGATATGGTAAGGACTGTGGTATATAATGATCAGTCTCAAATAATTATGCTAATTAACTTTTACTTGGAATCAATTGATTTCAAATCCCAAGGGAAGTTTTTTTATGAAGGAACTACAGTGACTGCCACCCAGTGAACTGCCCACCTCTGAGCTCAGCAATAAATCAATCCACACATGAGCCTAGAATTGCTCTGCAAGAGCAACAATAAAGGCACCAACCTTAGAATGTAAGAAAATTTACACTTATATCGCTTATATTTTGGCAGTCTCGTTACTTTTGCTGTTGAAGATTTTGAAATTGGCGTCTCCTGTACATGGCTACTGGCACAAATCTGGGAGCTTGGCATTTGGCAAGTGTCTGTGAGGGGGAAGGCAGCAGGAGTGATACGGTTGGTTGCTACAAGGCCTGTGAACATCAGCCCTTGATGCCTACTGTAAATGATTATGTGCCTGATAAATCATTAATTACCTGGTATGAAAGAGCATTGTGAGACATCTCAGTAAATGCCATGGAGAATGTTTTATCTTTGCCCCTATTTCAACAATTTTCTTTTCAGTAAGTACAAAGTTTTAAAAAAATGCATCCTGTCCAAGTGAGACCCCACGTACCTGACGTAACAGTACATTTGTGAATGCCTATTGTAGTTTGAATTGTGACAAAGGAAGTTAAAAGTTGAATTCTGTCAAATAATTTCCGCAATATTTACTGACAGCACTTGGCCTCAATCATTCCAGTATAAGGACCAACCTCAACGTGCTTAACTAGACAGAGTGCACGTGTGTACAGTAATAGCATTTTATACCTCTTATAATCTAAATTTTACTTTTATTGTTGTCATGGAAAAATAAAATATCAGGATGTGCTGGCAGCAGTCATGAAATGACACAAGCACACAAATATGTAGGAAGATGTACAACACTAACATCTACCACAAACATATTTTCATTGTGTTCTGAAAACAATGTCAGTGTTAATAAAGTCAGGCAAAACTTACTTTCCCTGTTCTGGAATCAAACGGCTTCATTTCTTCTCAAGTTCAGCTGGCTCTTCTGGATCCATGGCATCAGTGTCATCCACCTGTGAAAGAGTACTAAGGTCCTGAAAAATGAAAATAGGTAACTCCAATGAGGTCCGTACATCTTATTAAGATACTTTTGCCTCGATAATGTTTTCATATAAGTACATTGTGAAGGAAGAAGGGGGAGTCTCCAACAAATTTAGAATATAAGGTATTCTGTATCAATTTAATAAGCCACAGGCTTAACTGTTACCATAAAGTAAAATTCTACATTTTTTACTTCAAACAAAACAAAATTGTATTTATTTAATACTTAGTTACCTGTTTGTTTTCAGACACTGCAACCTCTCCTTTTCTGAAAGGGGCAGAACTGCACACCCACGAAACCCTCTGTGAACATGACCATGGAGCTGCATAAGGGAAGAGAGGATGAAGCTCTACACAATCTAGTGTGCACAATAAGTAAAATATTTTCACAACTTTTGCTCATAAAGCACAATGGTAACTAGCAACATTAATTTTTCTATTGTAATTTTATACATCTACACCACCTCCATTTTGAATTTGTTACGTGCTGCTATTTATAATCCATCTGTTCTGTGAATTCGAAGTTCACCGGAACACTATGCTTTATGGTAACTACAATTTCTTGAGAAACATAAAGATAATACTTTACTGGCTAAACTCGTATGTACATCACTATAATTAGACTACTACTGTTTGAGGAAAGAAATCTCGAACTACTAAACTACGCAGTATCGTGCATTGGCCACGAATAGGATACGAATGTTATTAGTTTTTGTGGTCTTATTATACCAATAATTTATCACACGATAAATAATTTGTAAAAGATGAAGCAAATCGTACCTAGAATTTAATCTCGACGGTCAACTTACCAGATTCCAGCCACATGTAGCAGACTTCCTTACAGTACTGAACAGTACCCACTTCCTGTGCACGTATTACTCTTGCGTTATGGTCCTGACGTCATTATAGCCAACATCCCGTCCAGTAATTTCTGCGAGAGTCCGGGATGAAATGCTTAGGTAATATTTTGAGGAAGCTCTCTTGTCGCTGGATTACCATCTGATGGACAAACGTGTAATAGAAATTGTTATACACAAACGCAATTTTACTCGGAGTAAGGACTTAAAAGTTATTCATGGCATAGGCAATGTTTACAATGTTGAGAGCCATGTTGTAGGGGCGATTTCTTACGGTTGAAGAGTAATTATCCTTCTTAATGACTGAGCTATTAATTACACAACTTGTCGTCGTTGTTTACAAATTCATGTGACAGTACAATATGCACGGCGCTAAGTTTAATTTACATTTCCACAGGAATGTTCATTAGTTACCATTTTTGGGTTGCTTCCCCAATGCGAGCGCCATTTTGAAACTGCGAACTTGTATTCAAATTACTAGAACCATTCTAAAATTTGATATTAACTTCTTGCAAACACTTTTACACAAAAATGAAAGAAAACTAAAATCACATGTCAATCCCCTATACAATATTTAAACCAAATTGTTTTTAGTAGTTAAGGGGATAGTTAAACACCCCTTTCTCATTAAGTGTTAATTTCATGCACTTATTGCAAAAAATACCAAATAAATCAAAACCAAACTCAATCTGCACCTCCACTGTCTATAAGAAGAAATGGGATACTGTAGTAACTAAATCTCAATACGTATATTAGTGACTTATTACACATATATGTTTTGTTTAAACTTTTTAAAAACCAGGATACATCTACATTCATACACATGCCATTTCCGGAGTTTGCTCCACTACTATCTTCAGGTGTTTGGATATTATAATCATACATTGATTTTATTTTTAACACACTGTCTTGACTGAACCTGGAACAGCTGTCTAATATTAAGCATATAAATTTAGTAGTCAGAAGGGTGTGGGTTAAATCCCAATCATTACCACATGCTGAAAATGAAAACTAACACAAGAACACATCACCACTTAAAGCCAACTCCTGAAACATATCATATATCTGAATAAGAGTTGAGGTTCCCAAAGCAGTAAAAATTTTGTTCTTTTGGACTGTTATGCCATGCGGATTTGTAGGTTTTGAAAAATGACCAATGTTTTAGAGGAATATGAGGCTTCCATACTCTGACTGAAGGTGAAGGCTGTATGTTCCTACAACACTGGTATCTATCTACAGTCCACAAAGCATTACAACCCAGAAAAACAACATCCAAATAACATGAACACTTCATTTTTGCTTTTAACAGAAAAGTGAAAATAACATTCAGAGATCAAATGAAATCACCCAAACATGATATCATATTATAAGCAGCACTTTGTGCTACCCAAATCAAAGTCCTGAATGTGACTGCACCCAGTTTTTATGCAAAAACTTCAGGAGAAAGTGCACATGGCATTTGGATTATATAATATACCTCAGACAATGTCCAACATAACTGTGATGCAAGAAATCAACCAGTGTTACAAACCTCTAGAGCAGTGGTATTCAACCTGGGGTATGTGAATTTTTTTTTAAATATATATATATATTATTTTATGATGAACACTGAATAATCAGAAATGTAATTTATTTAATGTATTTTAGGTGTAGATTATATACTATGTATAACTTGAATTATACACCAACAACTTTGGGGGTACAAAGTAGAAGAGAAATTATATCTGGGGGTACGCAAACAAAAAAAGTTTGAATACCACTGCTATAGAGAATCACAAGACAAACAGCACAATAAAATTCTCACACCAATGTGAATGTCTTTATAATATTATTAAGTAGCTAGAAAAATTTGTTCTCTACACAATACCACATACATACATCCCATTCCTAACATAGCTATTGTCAACTAAGAAGAGTTTTCTAGTACAGTACATTAAATATATTCAGTAAATGCAAAGAATATAACTTAAATAGAACAGTGAAGTACAGGGTTCTCAAATGCGTGACTTCTTGTTTAACAAAACATGGTACACAAAAGAAATTCCACACCGATGCTTAGTACAGAAGAAGCTGTACAACTAAACTCTCATTTCTTAAAACTGTAAGTCTCAAAGAATAACAGTGTTACAGCATAATAACCTACTTCAAAGCTTTTCATACAATTATTTTGAACTACTGTTCTTTTGAGTTGTACAAACATCCAAAACCATGTGTAGCATGGGCCAATCTACAAATGCATGAAATTGGAGGCGTCTTGGAGGTCATCTGGGTTATTATGCAAAAGAAGTCTCATACATGGTTACCAAAATTTTGGAGGAAACCTATCATACACAAAACCTTCAACATTCAATGCTGCTTATCCTGAAATGACAAAGTTTTACATTAAGAAACAAGAACGCCTAATGAATTTATTTAAGTAAGTGAACACTTTTCATATCAATGCAACATTATAATACTGTTCTACTGAGGCTCCTGAAATGACAAAGTTTTACATTAAGAAACAAGAACGCCTAATGAATTTATTTAAGTAAGTGAACACTATACTCAGATTTAAAAGTCAACAATACTGTTCACATAAGACATAAATGAGGAAGATCAGTAGACTCTCTACTATTAGAATAGGGTACACATTTTGGATTCGATGCCAGAGTTCCAAAATATAAAAATTAGTAAATTTCTGATATGATTTTACAAAAAGGGAAATATTTTTTACATCCAAATCATTTCTAATTGCTTCTTATGTCTGTGCCTATACAAAGCAGCAAAGCATTAGTTTTCATAATGGCTATGTCTAGATAATTCCTGTCATCAAGATTTGCTGAAAAAGTGATCATCAGAAATGCAAAACACCATTTTTAAAATAATTCAGAAACCCTCACAGTCATAAGTCACAGAATATGCTGACATTTAAAACAGCTCAAAGTACAAGAACACCTTTCAAGAGATAATATAAAATTTTTATGACAGAAAAACTGAGAAGTTATTGTGCTGCTCATTCTATGATTGAAGTACACTGTACAATGTATAAATTTTCATACAACAATAATTTGTGTGTTCTTTTCAAGACAATCAATAATACTCAAAAACATATAACATCAGGAATTACATGACAAATTTTGAATTCTAATTTACAACAAAAATCATTACATTTATGAATTACCCATATTACTAGACACTAAGAAGACAACATAAAAATTAACATTTCAAAATGTTCTGCAGAAATTTCATTCTGAATGTCATGTCTTAACAATATAAATTTATAAACAATCACTTGTGTTTTATCAAGTGAAGGATTACTAGTATATCTGCTCACAGACATTTCACTTGTGTTTCAATGTGATACAGATCTACTGATGCCAATGAACAGTAAATAAAAATCAGAAGCACTAAACTGTCAGAAGAAATTACACAAGAGTCTGAATATAAATATGGACAACTGCACACACTAGACAAATCATTAAGAGATGCATTCTTTCCACTGAACAGACACATTATAAAATCCTGCAAGCTGCAGTTCTTGTACTCCTGTAGGGCCCACATACCCCACAGTCTTGTGGCCCAGCCACTTTGATCACTTCACTTCTCATTTGTCTTTTTCTTTTTTCTGGCAGCCTTGGTATCGGGTGTTGGAATGTTTTCATTTTTGCGTTTTTGTGAGCCTTTACTGCCACCTCCAGTCCCTGAACCCACATTAGGAATTCCCCCTGCCCCACTACTTCCTCTGGGGCCACGTTTCTTTTTCTCGGCTCTTTCCTTCTCCTCGAGTTCTTGGTTTTCTCGCTCTATAAGTGTGATAAGTGTATTGCACCGACGCTGTAGCTCCATTGCCGTCCGTGACTTAATAAACCAATCAAAACGGAACTGAGGAGCATTCCTGTAGTGTACATAAATAGCTATATAAGGAAACAGTATCAACTTTATGGCCTTAAAACATACATCTAGACAGCTTGGTGCATGCCTGCAATAGTACATACTGTAATGTGAATTCTTTGAACCAGGAATGTACAATTTTCCTACTTTGAAGGTTCTAACACTGCTAAATTACTCTTTGTTGCAGCCTGCATTAAGCAATCTATCTGGTAGACTTTGTTCAAATGTTCAGTGCACATCTTGCAATTCATCTAATAGCACTTGAAGAGACCTTTATCTTGTAAGCCACTCTTCTTTACAACCAGAAACCTGCCCTTAGTCATGTAATGTTCAAAAAGGTAAAGAAAATGTCATCTCTTTAAACATTCCTGTTCAAATTGGTGAGATATTTATTTCCTTGTTGAAGCATCCTGAAATGTCAGCTATCAAAAGATCTGTCAGAAAAAGACATCTACCAAGAAATTAATAAACTAAAAGGTTTAAAATCTGCACAGTGCATAGCAAGCATGTGATACTTTCCTGTTGGCTACAGAATGAAGAAACAAAGAAACTATTCATAAGAATGTGTTAATTAAAAGAAAACTTAGATCTCTTTCTACTTCTATGGTCACTGTTAACGGAGACCTACTTTATCAATATCATTGCCAAAATAACACGATTATTAAGTCTTACCTCACTGCAGCACGCAGCTCTTCATAAACATTTTCTTTATCAAATCCCAATTTATGTAACATACAAACAAGGAACCTGTCCTCTTCCTCTGTATAATTCTTGCCTTTGTTGGTGCCATATGCTATTCGTAGCTGGTGAAATGGGGCACGATACCGTGCCATCTGCAAGCCAATAACAAGTGCAATAAGACCTCTATGGCTCAAAGTTAAGAAAGAAAAACTTTAGTCCTCACAAGATAAAGTATAGTGCACTTATCACACAATTTAGTTTTATAATAGAAGTGTCAGAACAATCTGTCACTATCTCATGAGAATCAGTTTCATGGTTTAAAAGATTTGTAATGCAAACGTGTTAATGTTGATGACAGGAAGTTTTAGAAGTTCTAAACTGGAAGATATCTCAAATGGCATAATTTTCAGATTGGGAGAACGTTAGAAGGGACTTAAATAAGTAACAGGAGCATTTTCCTTACCTTGGCATCCAGTGCCTTTTTGATACTGGCTCGTCGCTGAATCTTGGTCTCTCCTCTGTCTATCTGTGCCATGATGCGGTCAATGTCTTGCAGTTCATGACACCGTTCCCAGAACACAGAACTGTACTGCATGACTTCATCTGGTGTCTTTCCTTCCACATCCTTAGCAATGTTGTCAATGTCGTCTCTTCCATACTTCTCATTGGCTTTGATGAACTGATTGAAATCACGCTTCGTCCAGTTTGTGAAACCCTAGTAAAACAAACAGGAGATGGAGGAAAACAGACATATTAAGTCTTCTCCAAGAAATAAAATAAAAACAAAACAAAAGTCAGAAATTTTATTACAATAAAATTTAATACAGCAGCAGTCTGCAGGTATTCAATAATCCATGTGTGAGTACTAGAGCCAGGATAGCCCAATCAGTATAATGTCTGACTACAGGCTGGATGACTAGAGTTTGATCTCCAGAAGGGGCAGACTCTGAAGCCTATCCAATGGTACAGGAGGTAACATTTATGCTTTTGCCTGGATGTAAACTGCGAAGTCAAGCTGATCTGCAGGTCATTAAAATTAACTCACTTAAAACACTTTTACCTGTGTAAGCAACTTTTCTTTCTCCACCACTTCATCTTCTGTGAGCGGCTGGGCATCGTCTATTTTGCGCTGTTCTTCCTTCTGAATTCTTGATGCATCAGAACCAAGCTCTGGATTCTTAGGAACCTGAAGAAAGTGAATTCCATTAAATACTCCAATGCAGTACAAATATTTTCAAAATATGTTCTTAGCAACTTCATATACCTCATTGTACTCAATGTTAATTTATTGCAGATACAAATTAATTTCTGCAAAGCTAATCACGCTACTGACATCACATTGCATTATGCTAGGAATTATTATTTTATTAAATACAAAATAAATCAAAATCCAAGCCATCATTCAGTGAAACACATAAATAAGAAATTTTGCTCCTGCACGACAATGCACGCCCTCACACAAGTCTGAGAACCCGGGAAGAAATCACCAAATTGGGTTGGACGGTGCTACCCCATCCACCCTACAGTCCAGATCTGGCACCCTCCGACTTCCATCTCTTTGGGCCCCTTAAAGATGCTATCCGCGGAACAAGATTTGAAGATGACGAGAGCGTGATTCAAGCAGTGAGGACATGGCTACGGGGACAGGACAAGAGCTGGTACCGGCAAGGCATGCATGCCCTTGTTCCACGCTGGCGTAAAACCGTACAAGTTGATGGGGACTATGTGGAAAAATAGTATGTGTAAAGGAAACATTGATTTATATTGTCACTAAATTTGAGCCATCTTGAATAAATATGTTCTGAGGAAAAAAATGTGGGGCATTACTTAATGAGCGACCCTCGTAATTGGAATATGGGCAGTTTGCAATTCCTTCTTCTCTAACGCACTATTCACTGTACTAAAAGAAAAACACACAAACCTTATAACCGACTGTTTTCCGAAAGTAGTAGATTTCCTGATCCAACAGCTCAAATAGCCGGGGTGGGAAGAACTGAAAATCTTGAACGATTGGTTGCTTGGGTGGTCGAGGAGCCTAAAAAATAGAAATAACACCTCTGATTAAACAAATCAATACAAATACCTCAGAAGATACAAACAAATTAATAATGATCATGAAATAAACTACTACAACTACTGCACAATGTGATTGTAAAAATCTCAGAAGAGAACTACACACATCAATATACTGCAGGATAAAACCACACACAAAAGGGGGGAAAAAAATACTCAGATTTAAAAGTCAACAAATTAGTAAATGCATATATAGTATTACATTTATGGTACTTTTACCATGACCTGACTTTTGTCAGATGAAATACTGAAGAACACTGCTGAAAGCTTGGTAACCATGGAATTTAAATAGTAAACACGTACCAGCTTAACATAGTCATCTCCACTTAACGAACACAGGAAAAGTTCTCACAGTTACCTTTGGTGCTTTTGGTTCTGAAACCCGCAGAGCCTCACGGAAATAAGCATCCACAGCATAGTTGGCTTTCCGTTCTCGTTTGGGAGGCTCAATCCAGCTGCCAATACCAAGTACTTTCTGCTTCTCTCTGAAAACATTAAGCATGGCAAATAAATAAATAAAATCACATGGAATTCATAAAACTCTACTTCCATGGTACACCACACTTTTTCATCTGACCAGAACAGTTTATGAATTGTTTCTGTACAATTCATGACATGTCTCAAGGCCAAAATACAATTCAGCAGTCTCAGTACACTAAGCGAAATACCTCCCAAATTAAATATCTCATGATGACCAAACAGGGACGCCAACTCACGAGTCTGACGACCCATATATTAGTTCAGAATCTGTGGTTCTTATCTTCGTCTATTTAATCATGCTTTCTCAACTGCAAATGTTAGACAGCATCAAATGATAAGATGAGTGTGAGTGATAAAATAGGACAAGCAATCACAGTCTATTTTAAGGCGCTGAGCATATGCCAGGAGGGAATGAAGGAGATAATTAAAACCATCAGTCAGGATAGTCACCTTAAGGGCAGAGAATCAAAACCCAGCCTCCTCAAATATGGAAAAAGAGTGCTAACCTCTTAAACATAATATTCAGTCCAATGTCATGATGCAACCTGCAGTCCCTGACTCACTCTTCCCGCAGACAGCCTGACACAAATCAAAATACTGCACAGTGACCGTGCCTAATCTTACAGCAAATACCTTACCGATAATCTTCTCCTTCAAACTGGTATACGGAGTCCGTGCCTGGTGCATCCAGTGTAAAATTTCTGAGTGTAGATTCTCCCATAGTTGCCAACTTCTGTCTCATTTCCTCTGTCTACAGAGTAAAACAAAACATCCTGTTACAATCAAACATCACACGTATTTCCGCAGACAGTACACCATACTAATCCTGAATTTATCATGTAATAACAGCACTCTTACTTTTGATTCTCCTTTCTGGAGGATGGTATCAATGTCTTCATCAGTTATGGCTGAATCTTTAGAAGCAAACACTTGGTTTGCTCCATATCGTATCATGTTCAGCATCTCATCCTTATTCAGTTGATTCTGCTTGTTGTCCACAAGACGACCTGTACAAACAGATTCTTTTGAGTTCGTATGTTGTTTATTGCATTAACAACTGTGAAGGCAGCCAGCAAAGTTCAAAGAGGAACTTCCTACAATCTTACAAAACTGTGAGGCCATAAAGAAAACATATTCAACATGAAGTTGCATTATATCATAAACAACACAAGTAAATATGTGTTTCACTGTACAATTCATTTCCCATTACATTTGTTGTAGACAAAGACAAGACACTGTGCTGCACTATAAGAACATATAAACAAACAAACACAAGAATAATAAAAAAATTATAAGTGGGATTAAAGGACTTGGATGTAATGACTGATGTTTTACTTTGCCAAAAAATTGCAATTTTAGGGTTTGTTAAAAATCTGTTACAGCATGCAAAGAACTAAAGTTTATTAGTATTTAAATGAAAATTAAATACTAACTTTTTTTATAAATTAACCCAGTATAATGTGTATACAGGATTTTTGAGAAAGTGTTAAACACACATATAGATCAAGCAGACAGTAAAATTTTCCATGGCAAGTAATTTTCCTTAGAAATACATCAAAATGTAAGAGAACATGCATGTAAAAAGATCCCAAAAATTCAGTACCTTGCTGGATCACAAGCTTGTCTAGTCTCAGTTTCACCTCTGCTCTTTCAACAATCTTTTCTTCAACAGTGTTCTCTGTGATCAGACGAAAGACCTTCACCTGCTTCTGCTGTCCAATACGATGAGCTCGATCCTGTTACAGTGAAGTCAAAATGGCATTTCTACAGAACAACGGGTTTGCTTACTTACTGGCTCCCTCAGCACCACCACGACCACCACATGAATACTATCAGGCAGGCAAAATATTTTGTGGCAGTGCTGAAAACTTACCTGTTAACCACAAGATAAAAGCCATAAAATATGAGTACAAAGCCATCTCAGTAATCTACTGGTTGGCATACAAATTTAGGATTCGAAGGAGTCTGGGGGCTAATCATATATAAAATAATAATAATAAAAAAGAAAGAAAAACCCTGATGAGAGTACAAACATCTCCAAGAACATTTACTATGATCATGATGACAGCCAGTGAAATGGGCATTACATACCATAGCCTGCAGATCCATCTGTGGATTCCAATCAGAGTCATATATGATGACAACATCTGCTGTGGCAAGGTTAATACCAAGACCACCAGCTCTCGTTGACAGCATAAAGATGAATTTCTCACTGCCTGGCGCATTGAATTCATTGATCTGTCTCTGACGGTCCTCATGAGGTGTCTGTCCATCCAGTCGACAGTACTGAAGAATGTTAATCAGTTAATTAGTAGTGCTAAAGATATGCTCAACATCTTGAATATTTTATGAAGCCAGTAAAAAATCATGTTTGCTTCCAAATGAAGAAGGTAACAACATAAGAACTGATCACGTAATAACAAATGCATGCAGACACAAAACCGGAGTACTAGGTCCATGTACAGAAACCTGACTGTTGGCCAAAAATACGTGCAAGTTATATGTCAACACACAGAAAATGAAGCAACCATTTCCTAAATAATTCAGCTAAACAACTTTGGTTTAATGTGACTATGAGTGTGTTTCAAACTGCTTGTTTCTTGTGCCACGATGCAGCCAAGTAAGTATGCCGTTGTGCAATTTCACTTGATCTTAGCTGGTGCATCCTAGAATTCAATTGTGAAACACAAAATGTCGGAATGCTGCACTCACACTGTATAATCTCCAATGGCAGTAATCCTCCAGAATATCAAGCATCCTTGTCATCTGGCTGAAGATGAGCACTCTTGAATCCTGTTCTTGTAATCGTGGGAGCAGTTTATCCAGTATAACCATTTTCCCACAGTTGTACACCTAGAAAATACATTAATAACCGCCTATGTCAGGCTGACAGTCTATGAATCTCTGTCATATTCAGGAAATAATTTTAGTCCACATTCCACACATGCAATAAGTTGTAACATTCCTGTTCAACATTACATAAAAGAAGATGTTAACTTAAAATTAAAACTTTTTACTCACAAGATGTTCATCTGTAGTGTACGGAGGACCGGGCTCGGCACCGTCAAAGAGATAAGGGTGATTGGAGCACTTTCGAAGCTGCATGAGAATGTTCTGCAGTCGCATTTTCTCAATCTTTCCAGCGCCATTCACAATATCAATATCCTTCATCAGGACCTTCGTATACCTTCACATGAAAACAGCCCTTCAAATTTTAACATTCATATATTCATTAACTCATCCCTTGAATGCAAGCACACATAAATACACACGTATCCTAAAACGGGAAATAATAACAAGATCTACTCACCATTCTCTTTGCATTTTACTAAGGCCAACATAAATCTTCAGTTCTTTCTTTGGTTTTAACCTTTTTTCAACTTCAGATTTTAATCGACGCAGCAAGAATGGGCGTAAAACCTAAAGAAACCAGAAACAATTAGCATTCCTATCTATAACAAATGTATTTATTTCAGCTTCATTTCAGGTAGTTTCTTGTAGATAGACCACAAAATACATTACTATTAAATACAATACAAAACCGATTTTAAGCCAGAAAAAATGTAATTAATAGAAACAAGAAACCTACAATTTTTTAGCCTCAGATATCATCTGATTTAAAATGGAAACTTCTAATGTGACTGAAATATCTGAGGTATGTATGTCATTTCTCATTCATATGAAGTATTAATTGTGTAGTAAAGGAGTTTTTGCTCATTATGATGAGGTCTGAAAAACACCTGGAGTAATACACACATGTACTTGTTTAAATATATTAAACAAAATATCACCAATACTGTCATCAAAATACAGTTGCCAGCCCAAACAAGCTTTCAACATTACTCTTAATGTTACTTACAGCATGAAGTCTTTCAACTAACGTAGCATCACCAAGGAAATTATTAGTGTTGAACCATGCATCAAAATCCTGTTAAAACAATAACATCAATAAGAAATTGAACATACAAATGTGTAAAAATGTACAAATAAAGAAATCTTATGATATAAATATCATACAATCATCATTATGAATTGTAATGAGGTACACAAATATTCAGTGATATTCAAATGAAATCTTTACTTTAACTTTATTCTTACTACTAATATATCGCGTAAACACTTAAAAAAGTGAAACATGTATGCAATACAAGGTAAGTTAATAATAAAGTCACTCAACCACATTTATTCCCACATTACTACCAACTTAACTTCATTCACGATAAATAAAAAATTTCTATTCAAATTACTCCTAATCAACAAATGTTTTATTTATAATTATAATACAGCACAGCTGTCAGGAAAGTGTATGAAGCAAAAGAACTGATATACATTAACACCTAAATATGGTTCTTCTTCTATGGCTCTCCGGTCCGTATTCGGTCCGTGGCCTCCTCAATTCTCCTCTTACATTCAGTCCTCTGTTAGGTCCGTCTGTCCAAGGCTTTGATCGAAGTTTCAAAACATCTTCCTTTCTACGGTGCAAGGTTACAGTCTATAAATACTCACATCTGATGAGGTGAAGACCTCAGGCAAAAGAAAGTTGAGGAGAGACCAAAGTTCATGTAGGTTATTCTGCAGAGGAGTTCCTGTCAGGAGAAGGCGGTTTGTTGTTTTGAACTCACGAACAATCTCAGAGAGTTTTGACTTCTCATTCTTGATACGGTGGGCCTCATCGATGACCATATAACGCCAGTTAAACTTCTTAAACACTCCTTTCTCCTTGATCACCATTTCATACGAAGTCACGCACACATCCCATTCACCAGGCATGAGTGTTTCCCTTATGAAAATATTCTGGTGAAGAGAATAAAAGCACTTCAAGTTCCACACTTCGAGATATCAGTATAATTTCTCTTGTAAAATACTAACATTTGCCAAAGTGAAGATGATGAAAATATAACCAGATGTATCATACTGAGATTGGTTAACACATCCCACCCAAGTCTGCAGTTAGTCAGTAATTAATTTATAGGAACATTTGCATGGGGCACAGAATCCTCTTACAATATTTTCAAAAAGCCAATTGGTGAGCACTGTACAACAAATAAACCTCAGGAGAGAAAAATATGTTTGTACGTAAACTCTTAAACTACAGAAAAGTGGGTTAACTTTAATATTGGTTCACACAACACAAAATAAAGAAAAAAATATATAACTTACATACATTTTATGATACATATTTTGCATACTTAAAAATAATACAATCTTTTCAGAAATACTTAACCTACATTTTGTAAGATTTTTTCAACAAAATATTCTCACCCTAGCCTCTTGGTCACCAATAAGGCACACTGCACGTAAAGAAGGAACCCATTTCATGAACTCATTCATCCAGTTGGCAAGTGTGGACTTTGGAACAATCACAATATGAGGTCCTGGAATGTTCCGGTAATGTTTCATATACCTGCGGATGAAATGTCACTTGGTGAAGCCCACTACATATTCTACGTGGTTCAAAATCATTTACAATTTTGGTAGTTATTTTATTAATTATTATATTTTACTGCTTGACAGCAACAACCAAGTTCTCCATGCATTAAATTTAGTGGCCATCCAGAAGCGAGTGCATGTAACATTAAAAACAGAATATGTTATCTTATCAATTTTAATTCTAGAAGTAAAATTCTCCATTTGCTTCCTCACCATGGGCTGTAATGTGATGTTTCTCCAATAAAATGGCAATGAAAATCAATTTAACTCATTTGGATGAAACGTTTGAAGTTTTGCTTTAATAATAAGAAACCAAAATAATTTGACCACAAAGATGTATGAATGAGAGTGGATTGAACCACTATCTGGCTGACATTTGATATCCTTTGAGAAAAATAAAGACAACACTCGATCAAAGAAAACATTTCAATCTGACCAGTGTTTCTGTAATAAAGATAATTAATTGGCGTAAATAATTTTGATCAGTACATATATATATGCCGAAAGATATAACTGCTGTTACAAAGTACAATGGAACACAATAAAGTTTTGAATCTTACCCAAGCAGTGATATTGTCTGCAGAGTTTTACCAAGACCCATCTCATCAGCGAGAATTCCATTGATGCCATTTTCATATAATGAAATCATCCAGTTGAGACCCCGTACCTAAGAAAGAAGAAAGGATTATAAAACACTGAGTTTCAAATATTATTTTGGGACTTACTTGTACATAAGACAGAAACCTTTCACACACTTACCTGGTAATCTCTCATTTCACCATTTTTTACATAATGTGGAGACTGATCAAAGCTGATGATAGTTCTTCTACTAGAATTTGTTTCTGCCAACAATTCCTCATCTTCTTCCTGTTCTGTCTTTCGATGACGATGACTGCAAGAGAATAATCCATACTGTTGTTTCAAATAGAAATGAAAACAACATCAAACTAAATTGATGCATAATGGGCATATATTATCTAAAAATTCTGATAAACCTAAGTTTTGGTAGCTGGCTTTACTTCTATCATCAGGTAAAACTGTAAGACTTAATCAGGTGAATCCATTGGGAAAAGCTAATCTCAATACCTACATCAGTTTCTTTCAATGGACCAAACTGATTAGGTCTTACAGTCTTTACCTGATGATAAAAGCAGAGCCAGTTTCTGAAATAATGTGTTTCTCTTCAAATTACAGATAAATAAAAATATCCGTTATGCATCAGTTTAATTCCACACCTACATCAAAACTTTCAGACTAATACGAAACTAGTTATTTAACAATGTTACGTTACTGATAAGATGGTTTAGCACTGACAGTATTGATAAAATTGAAAGACAGTTCAAAGGAGAAGAAGGAAAATTAACTTTGAGAAATTCTGCAACAATATATATCAGACAATAATATACACTAACTGATAAAAACAAAAACAAAAAACACTGCAATAATTGTTCTCAATGAAGCCCTGTAGAAGAAGACATTGTGTTTCTCTGAAATGTTGGGAACTACCTAAAAATTCACTCAGTGTTACAACCCAGCTGACCAACATAAACATTGTCGCTACTATGAGATCTAAAAATCTCATGTAAAAAAAAGATGTTTCATTTTCAGACCATATCACTTACTCTCCAGGGTCTCCTCTTGGTTGGTCTGGATTCTTCCTTGGTCTGCCTGGTTTCACCTTTAGAGGACTTGTTGGTGGTTTGTCTCGCTGATTATTGGACATAAAATGTGTGAAGATTTCTGTCTGTTTAAGAAGGTAATCAAACCGCTTACTGCGGTCTGTTTCCTGTACAAAATCAATGCACACCAAAATTTTCATTTTTTCAAAATCCATTTCAGAACAAGAAACAAAACAATATAATCTTATATACTTCTTCAAAAATCACCTATCCAAAACAAACATGACTATATATTTCAAGAATTTAATTTAAAATCATTTGTGTCAAGATCCAACAGATTTTAACAATTTTCCAAATCCCAGTTTTACTACCTGTAACTCAAATTAATAAATAAAAGAAACAGCAGTACTGTAGAGAAGAGCAGAAAGAGACTACATGCACCCCCTCCCTCCATAGAATAAAAAACACAAAAGTGATGCAAAGGTGCATGCTGCTATACAAACGTGTACAGTTATGGAATATGAAGACAGGCACTGCATCTCAAATTTCTGTATTTCCCCTATAATTTCAAAAATTAATTGTTCATAAGAAAATGCACTCATGGGATGCCAATATCAGTCAGAAACTGATATGAAAAGACCATCTATGATTAGTTAAAACAGCAGCAAATAATTTCTACAAGAAAGGTATCCATTGTTTGATAATATATGAATACATGTACTTTATGGGTGACCACCTGAGCTGGCCTAACATATAACAGATTTAAACTGGTTTATAAATAGCCAACCTTAAAGTACTATTTTACTCACAACTTTTGTTTCATAGTCTTCAGTTTTGCCTCTGGATGAAAGTGTATCAGCTGAGGAAGCATTCTGGAAAACAAAACCACAAAAAAAAAATACACAAATTACAGGGTAAAATTCTATTTGGAATAAAATGTCTACTAAGTCATTTTATGTTGTGCTGAATAATAAGCACCTTCATAAAGCACAAAGAATTCCAACAGAGTAAATGATCTTAGGTGAGAAAAATATGGCAATGCTAATACTTTTCTGCACCTATAACAGTAAAATGTGGTATAATTAAGTCTCTTAATAAGAGAAACATGTCAATACATAATGTAATGAAAAATCTCCAGGGATCTGAACACCAAACCAAGTAAAACTTTTATCCTAGCATCTAAAATGTTTTGATAGTCACAAACATACCTAAAAATTAAAAACAGCAGAATTTATTATTTGGAAAAATGCAATAGCAAAATATTTTTAACTATACTGAGGTCATGGAAAGATACTATACAGGTTGACCTGTTCCATTTGTCTAGCCATTCTGCTGTAAGCTTATCTAACAATAAGTGTTCTGGGCTGGTTGACATAATTTCCAAGTGCTGTGATTCCCACCAGCTTTGAGGCTTCTTTCAGCAGCCTCAATGAAACACAGAATGTTCAGTAAAAGTCGCAACCAAAACAAGTAGATCTGAAATTACAGATTCTCATGGTGGCCAGTATGAAGATGACTGTCTTCTGAGATGTGATGCTATGCAGTCTCAAAGAAACTGACTTTCAAGACTGCACAGTACAACACCCCAGAAGACAATCATCTTCAAACAGCTTCATTGTTTCATATAAAATATTAATTTATGATGTCAAAAAGACGTTTATCACTACCTTGCAAACTGCAAGAAAGCACTAGGTTTAAAATGACTATGTCTGGAATTTGTTTCCTCATACTTTCTGCGTTGTATTCGAAATCTAAATTAGGCTTGCCTACGTAAGGTACATAATTTTGGGATTCATGATGACATGCAACAAATTACCAAAATGAAACATAAAAGGCAGCTCTCCAACATGCAACATTTCTATCACAATGTACCTCTTTCTAGATTACTGATCGACTCGTTGGTTTGATTTCATACAATTACATTTCGAAAAAGTTCCGATCATGCCAAAATCAAGAGTACATACTTTATACTTTGAATTCTTTCCCAATCGTTACTCCTGACAGTTCTTGGAAATGTAGTGCCGCAAACGCTTTCTAACCCAGCAACATTCATTATTCCAAATTACATTAAATCTTACCGAATTTTCTCCTGTGTCACCTGTATCCATGCTGTCTTCTGGTTTTAACATACCAGAACGTAATACAAATCTTCTTCCAAAACAATTCGTTCACGTTTCAAATTTAAAATATTCTCTCCCGAACCTATTCCCCAACACAAAACGATACACGCAAAATATGGCGGGTCAAGAAATTGCATTAATTCTATTGCACACCAACAGATGGCTAAAATTTTTCATTATTGTCAGAGACAATAAACAACAATCAATGACAAATACTCACAGTAGCATCTGGTTCAATGGAGCAATTCTGAAGGCTACGAACACGGACCTAAACAAATGAAAGTAGCAAGTTTCGACTGCCAATTGTTTATTTGTTTATTTTGACATGAAGGGAAGTTCCTTTAAATAATATTAAGCAGGTACTGAACATCAATTATATTTGCTGTTCTGAAGTATTACATATGAGTGACTTTTGTTAAAATAATTGCAGAAGTTAAATTCAGTATTTATGTTTTATGTAGCATTAAAAAGATGCTTACTTACACACTCCTTTTACTCTGTCAATGAATTTATGTTGTTTACAAATAAGTGATAACTTATCTTCTATGTGTAATGGGTAGATCTGTTTGTAACTTATCATTACTTATTGGTCCATAGAATGTAATAAAATGTGTATGTATTTATGTATGAGTGTGGAAAGTTTTACTTTTCATTTCAGGTTTAGTGCCTTGTGCTGGTGAAGATTAGTCTTGAGCATTACGTATTCTGGATCTGTTAGTAGACGATGGTATGATCAAGAGTTTGCTATCAGTTGTGTTGATCTTTTACTTAAATACTTTTGTTATACGTGTGCAGTTTTGTTCAGTAGGCATACCATTTGCATGACATGTTTCAGTTTGAGGAGGCAATCTTTGTAGTTCGACATGACAGCCCAATTTGAAGGACTAAGACAAGCTTAAAAAATGAAATTATAATTGAATGGATTGCCTGAGCTGTATGAATTAAAAATGATGTTATCCAGATATAAAATTGGATTATTTGTGTTCTCTGTAATGTACTTTTCTAAAATAAACTAGAATATGATGAGGCTTATCATTAGCAAATAGTTCTTGCTTTAGGTATCCTTAATTCTAAAAGTCTTAGAAAAGAATTATATTTTTGAGGTGTGAAACATAAATTTGTTCTCTGTTTGGTAAAACAAATGAAATTAGAACAAAGCGTGTTAATTATTTAAACCTGATTACTTCTGAGCAACTGTATTGAGAAAATAGAATTGTTGGTATAATGTGACTTAAAGATTAGGATTACATGTGAAGTATGCTTATTTATATTACACAGGCATCACAGTGCAGGACACAGACTGCAGGTAATACTATGGCTGCTGCAGCAGTGACTGGAGCAAGGAAGAAATCATCTGGTCCTAAGTTTGAATTAACAGAAGAACAGAAAGCTGATATAAAGGAAGCATTTGACTTGTTTGATGCTGAAGGAACTGGAAAAATAGAAACAAAAGAACTAAAGGTATTGAAATAGTAGATCAACAGTGTAAATCATTTCAGATATGGGTTTAGGCAGTTTGTACTCTGTTTCAGAGTTTGTCTATCATTCCACAAGTTTCATGTCTTAAACAGCTAAACATATTGCAATAAAATTTGGTACTAGGGTCTATACCAGACATGGTAAAATTTATTTAATTTTGGTTTGTGTTGGTCCAACGTATACACAGTGATCCAGGCTTCTCATGAAGGACCCTGGATAATTGAGCTGTATACATTTTCTGTGTTGTATGGCACAACCTGTTATCACATCCATTTTGGCCATACTCATTATGAATGTGCCCCCACAGTATGTGGAGTCATATCTGTGTTGCTTATCATTTTTGTGATACTTTATTTATCCAACAGTTTACACCATTGATCTAAAAAAAAAGAAGGGTGACATGGCTTAAAAATTAATCTTCTTCTAATTTGTAGAGTGATACAGAAAATTTTGCAGTTTTTCATACAGCTGATTACTGAATGAAGTTACTAAACTTTATAGTTTCCCAGTGTTTGGATTATTTTAGTATGAATTTCATCAGCTGTAATTGAATTTTTCTCATACTTGTAGGTAGCGATGAGAGCTTTAGGATTTGAACCAAGAAAGGAGGAGATTAAGAAGATAATTACTGATGTCGACAGGGAAGGAACAGGTAAGTAAGGATAAAGTTATATCTTCTAAATGTGGCTGTACCTAAGAAGGACAACATAACAGTAGGATGGAAAACATTTCATTCTGAAGAGCTTCATAATTTATATTTTTACCCTAATATTTATGGGGCAAATACATTAAGATGGACAAGATGAGATGGATCACATGTATCATGCATACTTGACAAAATTTTGTTTGGGAAACCTCAAGAGTATAAAAGGGAGAATAGTATCAAATCATTTTGTGTTTATTTAATCATACATGCGGCTTTCAGGTATTTTGTCTTATGATGAATTTCTTGGTCTAATGACTGTAAAAATGGCAGAGAAAGACTGTAAAGAAGAAATCCTTAAAGCTTTCAGATTATTTGATGATGATGAAACAGGAAAGATCTCTTTCAAGAATCTGAAGCGTGTTGCAAAGGAGTTGGGCGAGACCCTAACCGATGAAGAGCTGCAGGTGTGTATGTCATGTTTCTGTCCTGCTTTCCATTAAATTTGTTGGCTGTAACCACTTGGTTTCACATGGTGATTACGTTTGTAATTGTTGAATTATAAACATTATTTTACATGTAATTTGTAAGAATGTTTGTAATCTTACATACAACATTTCACCCTTAGCTACTGTGTTTCATTTGTTATTGCTACCGAACTGAAACCTACATGATGATTAGGCTGGCATGTTTTACATTATACAGAATATTACCTTAACAAAAGACGCAAATTTTTTAAACATGTATTACATATATAATTTTAGTTATACGAAGGTTAATTTCCCATTGTTTCTGCTTAGATTACACTCTTGTTCTGTTTTCCATAGCATGTATGGGAATTATCGAAACTATTAAACTTCTACGCGATGGACTTGTTTTTGAGTTGTATAGTGTTAGGGTGACTGTAAGTGATGAATTGGAGAGGATATAGAAGAAGGATGTCATTGCCTATTAAAAAGTACTTTTTGCACATTTGTCTACAGGGTGTGAGAAAAAATGTAAAGATCTGTCAGGATAGGCAGTCTCCATCCAAGACGCAAACATGAGACCTCTCAAATATGAATCAGGAGTATAATTTGAATATGGGTTAAAATTAATGTCTTGGTAGACAGGACTCATATAGTCTGGTAGAAGTTTACCAAGTAAACTTATACCAGACTTTATGTTCACCAACCTCAACTTCTACTCAGGAACACAGTTACATACATATTAAGTCTGGTTCTGAAACAAGATGGAACTTCCTCTGTAGAATGTCTGACAAGACATGACCTTCAAAATTTTTGTGATCTTGCAGCAGGGCAAAAGGAATGAAGGCACATTAATTTCTACTCACTGTTAGTCCGTTCCTTTCTCCATGCCTGTACCTCCAGTTGCTTCTCTCCTGTAGTTGCTGTTTGTTCCACTCCATCATCAGAGTGATGCTACCAAGCTTTATATCTTGTCAGATGGTTTTCGTAATACAGTGGTGCTGAAGTGAAAGCACCAAAGCATACTCAAACAAGTTTTCTTTGCCAGGAAATGATTGACGAAGCTGACAGGGATGGAGATGGTGAGATAAGCCAAGAAGAATTCCTTCGAATCATGAAGAAAACAAGCCTATATTGAGTTAATCATTCCGTGTTTTTGTGTTGCATTGTCATATTTATTTAAATGTGTTGGATACCGACATGTCTGTCAAGATAGGTTAAATAGTCCTCAGATTGCTGTTTCTAGAAACACCAGGTTTGTCTCAATATGTAAAACATAGTTATTGTGCTGAAGTGGAAGTGAAGAATGAATATATTTTTGTTACACACAGTGCCATATTCAAATGTTTGTATGCACATATTGCTACAATATTTACAGTACATAAAACTTTAGTTTCTGGTCTAATGTAATCATAGCTTGTTTATATCATAACAAATTTGTCTATATTATAGACTTTTACATAAACTTCCATGTTTCTGCTTCTCATCAATAAGAAAGTACTATTAACATTTTATGTATGAATACCATTTGACCATTATCCATTGTCTGAGATACTTGATGCACATGGAATTTTTGGTGTTGGCTGTGCCCCTTTCTTTTTTGTTATTAGTGACTATGATCAAGATCAGACAAGGATATTTTGAGTCCTAGACTATTATACTAACCACTAGACCATCAATGGGTGATGTCCAACTTAGTTTTTCCTATAATGAATTATTCGTTGTTATGAACCTTCTGAGAATTATGAAGTCCTGTATGCCCCTTTTGCACTTGAAAAAATTTCCTTCGATGTTATTGTGGTTATGTAAGTGTATGGTGGCCCCATTTCATCATGCATGTACAAAAATTTGTTTTTGCAGAAATATCTCAACAAAGGCATACATATCGAGAAACAAATTCCGTTGTTGCTGTACTGAACAAGTATCGATAATGGGATTTGTTCATGGCATTGTCTGTAGGTTTTCTCAGCCTTGAAAATTAAAAAAAATATATAAAAAAGCATTACAATACTAAAGTGGGTCAAGACTATGCACGTTTCTTTGTATATGAGGCTAATACTCCACACTGAAATGTAAAAATATTCAGTTATGCAGCAGTTTGTATCAAATATTTGCCTTATAAATAAACATGGCCTAACACAAATCATGAAATGAAACTCTTTCTTCATATGACATGTATTTCTTATGCCATGGTTCCTCAGAAGTGTCGCATTGGATCACTTTTCTATAGTACAGCACTTTCAGATCATCTTCACTAATATACGACGAATTTGACAAAAAGCTGTGAAACCTTGTGACAAGTTTGTCAGTCAGTTACCTATAAAACTTTTTAATGATTTTCTTTCCACACAGATCATAAACTGAAAACATCAAGTTGGAGTAAAATGATGTTTTTATTTGAATATGTAATATTTGTAATTCTAGTCAGTTTCACTGTATGTTTCAAAATGAAAGAAATTGTAATGTAATTATTGCTTTCCCTGATTATATATGCAGATGTCACCAGAATGAAGTAAATAAACATTGCAAAATTTTTGTAATTTTGACTTATTTCAGTATTCTTTGTAGGGGACACTAATCATGTTATATGGCTGTCAAAAAGGAAGTTGTAAAATACTTTCGAGATTATTATACTCCAATGTCTCAATGGCTGTTTTGCCAGAAGGTAAAGTAATGACATTTTCTCCACGATAGGTGTAATGGTTACATTAACATGACTTGTTTTCCAGAGCCATGTTGTGGAAACTGGTGCACTGTATGAAGATGATGTTCCTTGGACTAGGAGACTATATTTTGCAGCCATAAAAAATAATGGGCAGAATAATTATTACACTATCGTAATGTTGCAGAAAGGACACTAAATTGATTAACAATCATTTTCTGAATTCATTTATCAAGAATATTGCTCTTGTATGTCACTATCATGCCTATGCAATTCTGACATACAAAATGATTAATTTGCTAAAAAATTTCAATTTTCTTTTTATTATACTTACATTCTGATTCCAATGATACTTTTCTTGTAACAACAAACAATTTATTATAAACTTCATAACAGGCATATGTACCATTCTGTAAAACACTACCACAACACTGGAAATAAAAGTTGAAGTTTCCTTTCCCTCCGCCAAGAGCGTTGCAATACGATCAATATGTGGTTCCATCTACTAACATATTCTTGAACTTAGATCATACAAAGACTTCAGGAATCGATATATTCTCTCATTCATACACGATCGATAGAAAAACAGTCAAATGTTGACATATATGATTATATGGCTTTGTTCGTGCTGCCATCACGTATTTTATAAATTTTTTCCACAGTGACTATTGTTTGTGTTGGTGCTGCTTTACGGCCACTGTTTGTATCACGAAAAGATAACATTTCGTAATGAAAGAATGTCGTAGATAGTGATCATTCCGTTGATTGATATATTAGTAAATGATGAAGAAAAGGCGACTTTGACTATAGATTTGTCTGGGAAGATATGTCAAATTACGAAGGGCAGAGAGGACAATTTAGGGGCGGATTTAGACATCAAGGTACAGCACAGTAAATTCAGGAAATAGCTGAGGCCTTGGAACTGTTTTTTAACCAAGAATTTCTTTAAAAATTTGCAGAGGAGACCTGTACAAAACAATTTCGAAATTCCGGGGGACGTGTGTTCGCTGGAAGGTCGACATTTCACACTTGGAAACGAACAACAATTGCAGGATGGAAGTTGCTGGTTTAAGTTTCTTTTTCATACAGTCTTCCACCCTATAGGTACCCTGCAAAATGCGTGTTTAAGGCATCTGGACATCTTACGGTATGTTGCCTGTGGTAGAAGAAGGTTAAGCCCGCCGAGGTATTGTAAGGCATTCTTCAATCAACTAGGAATGTCAGGCAATAAAAGCAGTGAAGCAGCAACTATTTATTTGAAAGAAAGTAACATTTAGTGACACACCTGAGTGGAGACATATTGCTCCCTTCTGCTCAAAAGCCGCTACAGAGATATATGACGCTACAGCATCCAACATATCCTCTTCTGGGCGAAAAGATACAAAGTTGCCATCATGTTTGATTTTCCTGCAGCGGGATGTTCTGGAAAGCCGACAAAGGAAACTTTATGATAGTCTGCTGCGTTCCTGTGGAGATCAATTTTGTTCCATCAACACCATAAAATGAATTTAAGAGCACATTCTATAACAGATAGTATAGGCTTCCACGTGAGTTGCGGAACATTATTCCCAAAACTGAGTTTTATATTTACTCTGTCCAGAAACTGCCTCGTGAGGGCCAGCATAAAATTGCATGAAGCTCAAATCACACGTTACTAATTTATTCATCACACAAGACTGGAACAAGTCGTAATATACAGCGACCACTGAGATAATGAAACTTTCGTTTAGTGTGATGAATATTAATAGAAATATTGAGACAAAAAATATATCTGATTATTCCAGGGGTTCTGAATCTTTTTAAAATTCCGACACTTGTAGCCTGGCGACAGGTAGATAAAAATTATACGAGGAAAATAAATTTTATTTCGGAAATGCTCGCGATACATTTTTAAAAATTTGTTGCGTATAAATATATGTCTGTCACACGCTGAGAATGGCTGTTCTGTGCACTATTATATAATGTAAACCTTTAAAACAATGGGTTTACACCTGAAACAATGTACTTCTACCTATAATGAACTAGTATTAAGTCGAATAAAATACGCAACATCGCATCGGTAATCTCAAGTAACTAACGGGTTTTTTTCTTAGCATAATAAATATATCGCCCAAAGCAGAGTGAGAATCTTTCATTTGTAAAATATGTCAAGATTTCTGCTGTTTATAATGCAAGAATGTGAAGCATTGTTTCCAGACGTAATCTTCAGCGGACATACAAGGCATAAAGTCAGGAACGAGACGAAAACGGCAATCCAGGACTAGAGACAGACGCTCGAAATCTCAGCTCACTATTCTATCTATAAATTATCTTTTAAGCAGGATATTATTCCGGCGAGACACATTCGGAAGACATTTCCCTGCTCACATCTGCATTGCTATGTGCTGCTTAAGCTGGAGGAGAATCTACCAGACATTGGATTCCTTTCGTTCGTACGTACTTATTCGTTTCCAAAGTTAACAAATCCGACTACTGGCCTCGGTGATGAAGCGGGGAAAAAATTTAGAAATAAACACTGAAGCGTGCTTAACGTTTCGCCCGTATATTACGCATTCTTTGTATGAACGAAAGCACAATTGGCTGAAGTGTCTATCCTTCCACGCGTCTCATCGTCAGAATTATGGTTCGTACTTGTCCGACATAATACATTTTATACGCTATTCAAACAAAACTTCGCCTTTAAAAATTAAACATATATTTCGCAACACAAAGTGTTCATTAAAACTCATGGACAATTACTTGATCAGACAAATCGTATTTAATTGTTTTTAGGTTTTAATCCGTTGTCTAGGTACTAATGAAGCCACAACGTTTTGAATGATATTTTCGCCTCGGAAACCGACCGCCAAGATTCAAACCCAGTACTTTCCGTGTTTAAACCTAGAGTTGTGTTATCATCAAAACAATCTATTCAGTAAACAGAAAAATAGTACAATATTTGCTTTTGTATTTTGTTTTATTCTATAGATTTAGATAAAAGGTTTTACTTCGATTATCTGAGGAGAAAAACTGTAATACTTGTGATTTTAAATTAACTTATGCCATTTTTACAGTGAAAAGAGCTGACTTAAAATGCTGGTCGCTTCATAAGGTCAAACCTTGCAGTTGATAGAAACTTTGGATCATGCCTCTTCTCTACCGCAGAAAATATGTACATACACTTCTTTTGAACCCACAGTATATAAATCGTGCGAGTGACTCCAGGGATACTCTAAGAAACGTTTGACGCATTTTAAAAGATGTCCCAGGCCTTACATGCCGCCCCCTGCTGGATGATCGAGACGCAGTTATTAGATTAGTTATATGAAACGGTCCTGACATGGCTCAAGAAGTAGAGAGGATTTTCAGCTTCTTCGGTTGACTGTCTGAATCACTGCTATCCTCCGTGAGTTCTCACACTGCCTAATCAAGAACGTCCAATTCAATTAAGGCTTTGACCGGGATGTTCTTTTGTTAAATCTTATGTGGTACCGCCTGATTCGACTTCTAATGGTTAAGTGAAGTATTTTCTTCGCGGTACGGTCTGGATTCGTAAATATTATGAAGACGAGCTTAGGCTTCAAAGGGTTAACCAGCTGATTTTCGTAATGGTGAGGTGTAGTGTTTTCTTCGCGGTACGGACTGAATTCATAAATAATATTCAGACGATCTTCGGCTTCAAAGGGTTAAAAAATGAATTTCACTAATAACACCAGGTCTAATACATCCACAGCATTAATAGTAATAGAAATAATAATACCCCAACGGTAAAGGGTGTATCTAAAAATAACTTTTATCAAGAAATTCCCTGCTTTAATGGAGCCAAATATTCATAATCATGCTCACAAAATCCTACTCTCTATCCAGCTCTATCCAATGCCAGCTGAATTATTCTTGCGCCTTCACATAATTTTTATCCATTACCAGGGGTAAAACTACGCGTCTTATAAGTAATACGGTATTTTTATTCAGATCCAATAGATCTCTGAAACGTCGGCTAACTTCTACTAGACTACACGGCGCAAGAAGCTAGGAGACAGACAACCTTCTTACAATATTAGGTTTCTTAGTTTCTACTGCTTTTATTTCAAGGACAATCTCGTTACCACCTTACAACGTAATTTCTATGGTTTCTGCTTTCGCTTAATAAATTACCATCGTCAGTGCAGACCAGAAGCTGATGTAGATCACTGCTTTCAGTTCCAATCTCTCGCGACGTTATTGGAGATCCCTATAAAGTATTATAAATCAGAACTGAAAAGGAAAGGCCGTAAGGCGAATTATTTCAAACTTCAGTGGAACCTCGATATAACGCGGGTTTCGGGGGACAGCTTCAGTACCCGCGTTATACGTAATTCGTATTGTTTCATATTAAAACACACGAGAAACAGGCCTATCGACATAATACTGTGACTGTAGATGACGATGTTTGAACGAAGTATAAGGATCACATAGTTTGAATTGAGGTACTGAGAAAAACCACGAACACTGACTCAGTGTAGCCGGCGTCCGAGCTGGTAATTGAACTTGCGACGTTGCTAATGCGAATCAGGGGTGTCAAACTTTCGTCTTTTGCATTTGCACGATATTTACAGAAGCTGTCATTCGGCGGTTTCTGTGTGTTAGTGGCCTTCGGGTTAAAATAGAGCGGTCAGATGAGAGGCGGGTCGCGTAAGTGCTGTGCCGTCCGTGAAAACGAAACACGTCACAGATTGCATCGTGCAGTCCGTCTCGTCTCTAAACCGCAGCGCTCCGTAAGTAACTCAAAATTTCGTATCACGTAAAATAGTTTTATCTTAGGCTAGATACACCCCTAACAGAGTCACATAGGGGATTATTTGTGACGTGTCACGCCTAGCAGTGGAAAGCCCTGGGGTGTTTTATGGGGGAGAAGGGGTTAGATTGTGTGTGTTCTGTCTCCTTGATGTATTTTCTGCAGACCGCTGTGCTTTGACTTCTCCCTCGTGGGGGAGGGGGAGTTGGAAAGGGGTACCGTATGGAACTACGATAAGTTAAAGGTATATATAGTCTTGGGGTGGAGGGGCGTGTTAAAGAAGGGACAGGACGGCAGAAGGGGTGAGAGGGGTATAGCTTGCAAAGAATAAGAACAGATTGTCGGTAGCTTGGGGGAAAAAATAAAGGTTTTTAAAGGGTTTTGTGGGGAGGTTTTCCCTGCCTTGCGTGTATTTTTGTGTCACGTGCTCACAAAGTGTTGTGACTGTAAGCAGAAGTTATATCAGGCTGGCCTGACAACGGACTTAACTATTTCGCGTGCAGGGAGTATTCTTTGGAACATAATTCAGGTGTAAGTCCCACAGAGAGAATTAGTTTGTAATGCCGGAGTAGCCCACTCGTGTGTTGTTAGAAACGAGGACCAGAGTCCTAAAAACTAGACTTTGTGGGCCACACACACACACACATCACAGTTGATTTCACCTTACAGGTTCTGTGATT